GTCACAGTCATTCTCTGTCCAGCTTTGTTCCCTTGCTGTTGAGGAGTTTTGGTCCTTTGTAGGAGGCGAGGTGTTCTGGTTTCGGGTGTTTTCCTCCTTTTTGCGCTGGTTTCTTCCCATCTTTGTGGATTTATCCGCTTGTCGTCTGCGTAGTTGCTGACTTTTCGGTTGGGTCTCTTGAGTGGACACCCAGATTGTTGATGATGAAGTATTTCTGTTACTTGGTTTACCTTCTACCAATCTAGCCCCTTCGTTGTACGACTGCTGAGGTCCACTTCAGGCCCTGCTTGTCTGGGGTGCATCTATAGCAGCTGTGGCACAGTGAGGGATGCTACCAGTTTCTTTTTCTGCTATCTTTGTCCCAGGGTGATGCCTGCCGAATGTCAGTGTTTTGGATATAGAGGGGTCAGGGAGCTGCTTGAGGAGACAGTCTGTACTTTATAGGAGCTCAATTGCTTAGCTGTGAGCTCTGTTGTTCATTCAGGGCTGTTAGGCTGCTATGTTTGATTCTGCTGCAACAGAGCTCATTAAAAAAACCCTTTTTTTCTCAAATGCTCTGTGTTGGGGGGTTTGGACTTTATTTTTGGATGTCTGTTGAGGTGTCCTGCCCAGCTAGGAGGCAGACTAGCCACTGTTTGCCTGCCGAGGCTCCGCCCTGCTGTTGGGTGGTTCGCCCTGTTGCTGCAGGCTCTGCTGTTCTGCTGCGGTCTCCGCCACAGGCTCCGCCCTGCGGCGGAGTCTCTCTGTTTTAGCGGGTTGCCTTGGCAACAGCAGGCTGCGTCAGCAGTGGGTGTGTATCTCACTAGGGACGGGTTGCCTCGGCTACGGCTGGCTGCTTCAGCAGTGGGCGTGTATCTCAGTTGGGGCGGGTTGCCTCGGTAATGGTGGACGCCCCTCCCCCACAGACCGTCTCGGACCGTCTGCACGGGGAGCGTTTGAAATCACGGTTTTGTTCATCCCACTGGACTACCCCAAACGCTCTGTCCCTGCAATCTTCTGGGCTGGCCCACTGTCCAAGTCTCGTTCAGTCTCTAGTCCAGCCCTCTCAAGTCTCAGGTTGCCAGTTCAACAGGGCACCCGGACAAGCGCGCCCTGTGGGGAGCGCTGGGTAGGGCCGGCCGCCGCCACCCCGGCTGCCGGCTTCACCAGGCAGAGGTACTGCCTGGCGTCCCGCGTCTCCTTTATACTTGGGAATTTCCCCATTCTGTGGGCAACAAAGATCAGTCTGGAAATGCAGCTCCGACTCACCTCTCCGCGGATTCAACGAGAGCTCCAAACCTGGCTTGTTCTCACAGCGCCATCTTCTCCTCTAGTTCTTTTAATTGTGATACTAGAGTGTCAATTTTAGCTTCTCATGTGGGCATTTAGTGCTATAAATTTTCCTCTATACACTGCTTTAAATGTGTCCCAGAGATTCTGGTACGTTATGTCTTCATTCTCATTGGTTTTGAAGAACAGCTTTATATCTGCCTTTGTTTCATTATTTATCCAGTAGTCATTCAGGAGCAGGTTGTTCAGTTTCCATGTAGTTGTGTGGTTTTGAGTGAGTTTCTTAATCCTGAGTTACAATTTGATTGCACTGTGGTCTACGATACTGGTTGTTACGATTTCTATTCTTTTGCATTTGCTGAGGAGTGGTTTACTTCCAATTATGTGGTCAATTTTAGAGAAGGTGCAATGTGGTGCTGAGAAGAATGTATATTCTGTGGATTTGGGGTGGAGAGTTCTGTAAGATGTCTATTAGGTCTGCTTGGTTCAGATCTGAGTTCAAGTCCTGGATATCCTTGTTAATTTTCTGTCTCATTGATCTGTCTAATATTGACAGTGGAGTGTTAATGTCTCCTACTATTATTTTATGGGAGTCTAAGTCTCTTTGTAGGTAGTTAAGAACTTGCTTTATGTATCTGAGTGCTCCCCATATTGGGCATATATATCTAGGATAGTTAGCTCTTCTTGTTGCATTGATCCTTTTACCATTATGTAATGACTTCTTTGTCTCTTTTGATCTTTCTTGGTTTAAAGTCCAGACATTTTATTAGAGACTGGTATTGCAACTCCTGCTTTTTTGTGCTCTCCATTTGTTTGTTAAATCTTCCTCCGTGCCTTTATTTTTAGTTTATGTGTGTCTTTGCACATGAGATGTGTCTCCGCACATGAGATGTGTCTCCTGAATACAGCACACTGATGGGTCTTGACTCTATACAGTTTGCCAGTCTGTGCCTTTTGATTGGGACATTTAGCCTATTTACATTTAAGGTTAATATTGTTATGTGTGAATTTGATCCTGCCATTTTGATACTAGCTAGTTGTTTTGCCCATTAGTTGATGCAGTTCTTTATTGTGTCAATGGTCTTTATCATTTGGTATTTTTTTTGCAGTGGCTGGTATTGGTTGTTCCTTTCCATGTTTAGTGCTTCCTTCAGGAGCTCTTGTAAGGCAGGCCTGGTGGTGATGAAATCTCTCAGCAGTTGCTTGTCTGTAAAGGATTTTATTTCTTCTTCACTTATGAAGCTTAATTTGGCTGGATATGAAATTCTGGGTTGAGAGTTCTTTTGTTTAAGGATGTTGAATATTGGCCCCCACTCTCTTCTGGCTTTTAGGGTTTCTCCGAAGAGATCTGCTGTGAATCTGATGGGCTTTCCTTTGTGGGTAACTTGTCCTTTCTCTCTGGCTCCCCTTAGCATTTTTTCCTTCATTTTAACCCTGGTGAATCTGATGATTATGTGGCTTGGGGTTGCTTTTCTTGAGGAATATCTTTGTGGTGTTCTCTGTATTTCCTGGACTTGAATGTTGTCCTGCCTTGCTTGGTTGGGAAAGTTCTCCTGGATAATATCCAGAAGAGCGTTTTACAGCTTGGTTTCATTCTCCCTGTCACATTCAGGTAGACTGATCAAACGTAGATTAGGTCTTTTCACATAATCCCATATTTCTTGGAGGCTTTGTTCATTTCTTTTCACTCTTTTTTCTCTAATCTTGCCTTCTTGTTTTACTTCATTGAGTTCATCTTTAATCTCTGATATCCTTTCTTCTGCTTGATCAATTTGGCTATTGAAACTTGTGTATGCTTTGCGAAGTTTGTGTGCTGTGTTTTTCAGCTCCATCAAGTCATTTATTTTCTTCTCTAAGCTGGTTATTCTAGTTAGCATTTTGTCTAACCTTTTTTCAAGGTTCTTAGTTTCTTTGCATTGGTTTAGAACATGTTCCTTTAGCTCAGAGAAATTTATTACCCACCTTCTGAAGCCTGCTTCTGTAAATTTGTCAAACTCATCCTCCATCCAGTTTTGTTCTCTTGCTGGTAAGGAGTTGTGATCCCTTGGAGGAGGAGGGGCATTCTGGTGTTTGGTGGTTTCAGACTTTTTGTGCTGTGCTGGTTTCTTCCCATCTGCATGGATTTATCTACCTTTGGTCTTTGAAGTTGGTGACTTTCAGATGGGTCTCTGAGTGGATGTCCTTTCTGTTGATGTTTAAACTATTTCTTTGTGTTTTTTAGTTTTCCTTCTAACAGCCCTTTCTGCTGCAGGATTGCTGGAGGCCCACTCCACACCCTGCTTGCCTGGGAGTTACCCGGGGGCGGGGGCAGGGTGCTGCAGAACAACAAGGATTGCTGCCTGTTCTTCCTCTGGTAGCTTGGTTCTGGAAGTGTACCTGCCAAAGGTCAGCCAGAGTGCTGCTGTATGAAGTGTCTCTTTGGATATACAGGGGTCAGGGAGCCACTTGAGGAGGCAGTCTGTCCCTTATCAGAGCTCAAGTGCTGTGCTGGGAGCTCCATTGTTCCCTTCAGAGCTGCTGGGTAGGGACGTTTAAGTCTGCTGAAGTGGAACTCAGAACCGCCTCTTTTCCCAGGTGTTCTGTCCCAGGAAGGTGGGGGTTTATTTATAAGTCCCTGATGTTTTGCTGCCTTTTTTCAGAGATGCCCTGCTGAGCAAGGAGGGAGTGTAGTCACAGTCTGCCTGCAGAGGACTTGCTGAGCTGTTGTGGGCTGTGCCCAGCTGCTGTGTAAACATCCTTGCAGTTTTGTTTTTACAGGGAAGGTTAGAATTGCCTCATTAATGGCAGATACCTCTACCCCCACTGAGCTTGACCGTTCCAGGTCGAACACAAACTGCTGTGCTGGCTGCGGAAAATCTCAAGCCAGTGGGTCTCAGCTTGGTGGTCTTTGTGGGGATGGGACCTACCAAGCCAGATCACTTGGCTCCCTGCCTTCAGCTCCCTTTTTATCATGGGAATGGGCGGTTCTGTCTTGCAGGTGTCCTAGGTACCGGCCAAAATGGCCACCCAGTTTTGTGCTGGAAACCTGCAGGGCAGGTGTTGTCAGTAACAGCAGGAATCTCCTGGTCTGTGGGATATAAAGACCATGTGAAAAGTGCAATATCTGAGCCTGAGTGACTGGAAAAGTCCCTGATGGCCTCCCTTGCATAGGAGGGGGATTTCTGTGTCCCCTTGCACTTCCTGGGTGAGGCAATACCCCACCCTGCCTCGGTTTGCCCTCCTTGGGCTACACCCGCCGTCCAACCAGTCCTATTGAGATGAGCCTGATACCTCGGTTGGAAATGCGGAGATCACTTGTCTTGTGTTGCTCTCGCTGAGAACTGCACTCCGGAGCTGTTCCTTTTCGGCCATCTTGGTGGAAGTCCAAATTTTTGTATTTTTAGTAGAAACAGGGTTTCATGATGTTAGCCAGTATGGTCTTGATCTCTTTGACCTCGTGATCCACCCGCCTTGGCCTCCCAAAGTGCTGGGTTTACAGGTGTGAGCCTATGCACCTGGCCAAATCCTGTAGTCTTTATATCAAAGAATGGAACACATAACACCCCCAGGCTCCGCTTGGCTCAGGAACACAGTAAAGCAGGCTAATTTAAAAGAAGATTTTTCCAATGGACAGCCAGCCTTTCTGTTTTTGTTTCTAGAGATTAACACCTACAAGTTAACTTACTCCTCAAATAGAAAAGATTTCACTTGCCTGGCCACTGACATAACCTAGTTCCTTATTGAACTTAAAGGTCTTCAAGGAAATTAGGCTCAAAGAACTCGAAGTATGGAACCAGTCATCCTTGGAGGTATGTCAGGGGAGGGGCCTGTAGTATCTGGAGAGCTTGAGGGATGAGAAGCCATCTCAAGAAAAGACAAGAAGGCCGGGCACATTAGCTTATGCCTGCAATCCCAGCACTTTGGGAGGCCAAGGTGGAAGGATCAGTTGAGGCTAGGAAGTCAAGACCAACCTGGCCAACATGGTGAAATCCCATCTCTACTAAAAATACAAAAATTAGTTGAGCATGTTGGTACATGCCTGTAATCCAGCTACTTGGGAGGCTGCGGCATGAGAATTGCTTGAACCCAGAAGTGGAGGTAAGAGTGAGCTGAGATCATACCACTGCACTCCAGCCTAGACAGAGACCCTGTCTCAAAAAAAAAAACACAAGAACATCTCTCCTGGTTTTGTCCTTCACTTTTTAAGATGATTTATTTTGCATGTTGTACAGATTAAGTTATAAATGAGCACTTTTAAACTTCATTTTTTAAAACTTAATTCTACTTAGCTCTTATTCTTTTTTCTTTGAGACAGGATTTGACTCTGTAGCCTAGGCTGGAGGGCAGTGGCATGATCATGGTTCACTGTAGTCTCGATCTCATAGGCTCTAGGATTCTCCCACCTCAGCCTCCCAGTAACCAAGACTACAGGCGGCACTACTGGGCATGGTTGATTTTTAAAAAAATTTAGTTAGAGATGAGATCTTGCTGGTTTACCCAGGCTGGTCTTAAACTCCTGGGTTCAAGTGTTCCCCAGCCTCTGCTTCCCAGAGTGTTGTGATTATGGGCATGAGCCACTGCACCTGGCCAGCTCTTAATTATCTAATTATTTATGATAAAACTCATGTAATTTAAAAGTGTCATTATAGTTTCAGCCTCATTCATTCGGAATAACTCTTGCTTTCTTGTTTGTGTTTCAGGGTTTATTTTCTCTTAATCTTTCTGCTGCTTTTGTTCTTCCTTCACAAAATCAAGTGTTTGTTTTTTGTTGTTGTTTTTAGGATTTTGCAGGATCGTGGTCTTTCCAAATATCCTAATCTGTTAAATCAATTACTTGATTTACAACCAAGTCATAGTTCCCCCTACCTAATTGCCTTTCTTGTGGATATCTATGAAGACATGTTGGAAAACCAATGTGACAATAAGGAAGACATTCTTAATAAAGCATTAGAGGTAAGCTGGTGGGGCTCGGTGCTTTCATTTTTCGTATCTCAGAATGGTCTGCCCAGTGCCACTAATATTCATGCCTCCTTTCAACATTGTTACTCAGAATTCAGAACAAGGCTATTTCTGGTTAGGGGCAGCATTTACATCACTTGGGAACACAGCCTGTGTCTCTGACAGCATGTCACATTTGAATGTGATCTGAATTAAATTGTATTGGCTCAAAGGCATTTACCCTTGAGATTGGATTACATATTACTTTAATAAATTTTTATTTTTCGTTTTCAGTTATGTGAAATCCTAGCTAAAGAAAAGGACACTATTAGAAAGGAATATTGGAGATACATTGGAAGATCCCTGCAAAGCAAACACAGCACAGAAAATGACTCACCAACAAATGTACAGCAATAATACCATCCAGAAGAACTTGATGGAATGCTTTTTTGTATTAAGGGAATCTATGCAGGAGTTTAAAACTAGAGTGATCCTTCCCTTTGCCTGTGGTGTAAAAGTACATCATACAGGTATTGCTTTTTAACAAGAACTGATGCTCCTTGGGTGCTGCTGCTGCTCAGACTAGCTCTAAGTAATGTGATTCTTCTAAAGCAAAGTCATTGGATGGGAGGGGAAAGCAAAAGTCCCATAAAGGAACTTTTGTAGTTTTATCAACATGTAATCTAATCCTTTAGCATCAACTCTTCCCTCAGTGGTACATGTGTCAGGATTTTTAGTAGTAATGACTGCTGGTTACTTGTATGTAATGGATATGAGGTAGCCGAAGTTTGGTTCAGTAAGTAGGGAATACAGTGGTTCCATCAGAGGTGGTCTGCACACTCACAGAATCTTGCTATCACTGTAACCAACTAATGCCAAAAGAACAGTTTTGTAATAAAATTATAGCTGTATCTAAAAACAGTGGTACAGTAGTTTGATTTTTTAATAGCATTTAACTATAATTATATAAGACACATTGTCTCAGCTTAGAAAAGCAATTGAAGGCCAGGCGCCGTGGCTCACGCCTATAATCCCAGCACTTTGGGAGGCCGAGGCTGGTGGATCACAAGGGCAAGAGATCGAGACCATCCTGGTCAACCTGATGAAACCCCGTCTCTACTAAAAATATAAAAATTAGCTGGGCATGGTGGCGCATGCCTGCAGTCCCAGCTACTCGGGAGGCTGAGGCAGGAGAATTGCCTGAACCCAGGAGGTGGAGGTTGCGGTGAGCTGAGATCGTGCCATTGCACTCCAGTCTGGGTAACAACAGTGAAACTGCGTCTCAAAAAAAAAAAGAAAAGCAATTGAAGAAGAAAATATTGGTATAAAACTTTAAACTTAGGAACATGATATATTGGAGGAAAAGTTAAAATGTGAATTGGTCAGTTCTTGACTGAAAGTGAGAAAATCCACTCAAGGTAATTTGAACTCAAAGGGTTTATTCAGGTTTATAAATATCTCACAGAAGAATTGCCTAATCTTTTAGAAGTACATTCCCAGTTCAACCATTGTGGAAGACAGTGTGGCGATTCCTCAAGGCCTTAGAAATAGAAATTCCATTTTACCCAGCAATCCCATTACTGGGTACGTATCCAAAGGACTATAAATCGTTCTACTATAAGGACACATGTACACGAATGTTCACTGCAGCACTGTTTACAATAGCAAAGACCTGGAATCAACCCAAATGCCCATCGATGATATACTGGATTGGGAAAATGTGGCACATATACACCATGGAATATTATGCAGCAATCAGAAATGATGAGTTCGTGTCATTTGTAGGGTCATGGATGAATCTGGAGAACATCATCCTCAGCAAACTGACACAAGAACAGAAAATGAAACACCGCATATTCTCACTCATAGGTGGGTGATGAAAAATGAGAACACATGGACACAGAAAGGGGAGTACTAAACACTGGGGTCTATTGGGGGGAAAAGGGGAGGGCCAGTGGGAGGGGGAGGTGGGGAGGGATAGCCTGGGGAGAAATGCCAAATGTGGGTGAAGGGGAGAAGAAAAGCAAAGCACACTGCCATGTGTGTACCTACGCAACTGTCTTGCATGCTCTGCTCATGTACCCCAAAACCTATAATCCAATAAAAAATTAAAAAAAAAAAAAAAAAAAAAGTACATTCCCAAACCATAGTACACATCTGGACCATCCTGTTGCTGCTGCCTGTCCAGAATCAGAAAACTGCTAGTTGAGGAATGAGGAGCCACAATCCTGGCTGCCAGCTCCAGGACTGTGCTGTCTCTGCATGTACCATAAAAAGCACATCCGCTGCTTTTCCCATGTAGTGTGGTTCCAAATTATGGCTCACTGCAGTTCATCTGATTGGAAAGAACCAACAGGATGTCTTTTTTTTGAGATGGAGTCTCACTGTTGTCCTGGCTGGAGTGCAGTGTCGTGATCTCAGCTCACTGTAACCTCCACCTCCCAGGTTCAAGTGATTCTCCTGCCTCAGCCTCCCAGTAGGCACCATTAATTTTTTTTGTTGTTGTAATTTTAGTAGATACGGGGTTTCATCATGTTGGTCAGGCTGGTCTCAAACCGCTGACCTCAGGTGATCCGCCCGCCTTGGCCTCCCAAAGTGATAAGATTATAGGCATGAGTCACTGCTATATATAGCTAGCTAGGTAGTTCGATCGATCTTTTTTTTTTTAATTGAGACAAAGTCTCACTCTGTTGCCAGGCTGGAGTGTAGTGGTGTGATCTGTGCTCTTTGCAACCTCTGCCTCCCGGGTTCAAGCAATTCCTCTGCCTTAGCCTCCGGAGTAGCTGGGATCACAGGTGCACACCATCATGCCCAGCTAGTTTTTTGTATTTTAGTAGAGACGGGGTTTCACTATGTTGGCCAGGATGGTCTCAGATCTCCTGACCTCATGATCCACCCGCCTCAGCCTCCCAAAGTACTGAGATTACAGAAGGCTGGGTGCGGTGGCTCACGCCTATAATCCCAGCACTTTGGGAGGCTGAGGCAGGTGGATCACAAGGTCAAGAGATCGAGACCATCCTGGGCAACATGGTGAAACCCTGTCTCTACTAAAAACACAAAAATTAGCTGGACATGGTGGCGCGTGCCTGTAGTCCCAGCTACTCTGGAGGCTGAGGCAGGAGAACTGCTTGAACACAGGAGGTGTAGGTTGCAGTGAGCCGAGATCGTGCCATTGCACTCCAGCCTGGGTAACAAGAGTAAAACTCCGTCTCGAAAAAAAAAAAAACAGATGTGCGCCAAACTACGGCGCCCTGCCAGGAAGTCTTAAAATCTTAATTGCAAAGGAATTTGGGAAGTGTGGTTTGTAGCTTTCCAGCCTCTGTGATGTAGGATGCCATGCCAGGAAGGAGTTGGGAGTGGTTAGCAAGCTGGCTTGTTGTAGCTGCACTTAATTCAATCTCACTTTATTTTTATATGTTGATTTTTTTTTTTGGAGTCTCACTCACTCTTGCCCCAAGTGAGTGAGACTCCATCTAAAAACAACCTCCACTGCCTGGGCTCAAGAAATTCTCCTGCCCCAGCCTCCCGAGTAACTGGGATTACAGGCACCATGCCTGGCTAATTTTTGTATTTTTAGTAGAGCCGGGGTTTTACCATGTTGGCCAGGCTGGTCATGAACTCCTGACCTCAAGGGATTTGCCTGCGTCAGCCTCCCAAATTGCTGGGATTACAGGCCTGAGACACCGGGCCCGGCCTCAGTCTCACTTTATCTGTAATTTGTGTTCTGTCAAAGCACCAAAGTTAAATAAAGAAATCATATAAAGTTAAATAGTTATCCTTTATATTTTAATGTCTGGGCACAGTGGCTCACGGCTGTAATCCCAGCACTTTGAGAGGCTGAGGCAGGTGGATCACCTGAGGTCAGGAGTTAAAGACCAGCCTTCCCAAAATGGTGAAACCCTGTCTCTACCAAAAATACAAAAGTTAGCTGGACTTGGTGGTGCATGCCTGTAATCCCAACTACTCAGGAGGCTAAGGAGGAAGAATTGCATAAATCCAGGAGGTACAGATTGCAGTGATTGCAGTGAGCCAAGGTCTTGCCTCTGTACTCCAGCCTGGGTGACAGAGACTGTCTCAAAAAAAAATTTTTTTTAATACTTTCTGAAGAAAACATATTTGGGAAGTGTTATTTCTAACATTTTACATGTTTTTGTTGTTTTTAGAATCCAAAAATCTCTGATTTTTGAAGTTGCCACAAAGTGTCATTCTTATGTAGACCATTTCAAAGGTGTCATAAGGATAAAGATAAGTTCTCATAAGATAGCAGTTATTCTCAGCTGGGTGTGATGGCTCACACCTGTAATCCCAGCACTTTGGGGGGCTGAGGTGGGTGGATCATTTGAAGTCAAGAGTTCAAAGTCAGTCTGGCCAACATGGTAAAACCCTGTCTCTACTAAAAATTCAAAAATTAGCCAGGCATGTAGATGGGTGCCTGTAATCCCCACTACTTGGGAGGTTAAGACAGGAGAATTGCTTGAACCTGGGAGGCAGAGGTTTCAGTGAGCCAAGATGGTGCCATTGCACTCCAGCCAGTTTCCTTTTCTGCTCCATGAGCAGAGGATTTCTCCTGAGTCTCTCTGTGTGCCCACGACCCTCACTTCCAGGTATTTGGCTACACTCAGGTTGAAGATAATAGAAGAAAAAAGGGTGACACAACCAGTTTAATGGTGCATCAAATTCTGCCTTAAAAATTTTTTTTTGTTTGATTTTAATTCCTCTAATTTTTCTTCAGTATTAAAGTTTCACCCTTTTCCAGGCAGCACCCCACAAAAGCCTCTAGGCATGAAATGGTGGCCACATGGCAAAGAACTCAGCAAAGAGAGCTGCTGGTTGGTTTCTATCTTTTTTTTTTTTTTTTGAGATGGAGTTTTGTTCTTTAGCCCAGGCTACAGTGAATTAGCGCCATCTCAGCTCACGGCAACCTCTACTCCCCAGGTTCAAGTGACTCTCCTGCCTCAGCCTCCCGAGTAGCTGGGATTATAGGTGCCCACCACCACACCCGGCTAATTTTATGGTATTTTTAGTAGAGACAGTTTCACCATGTTGGCCAGGCTGATCTTGAACACCTGACCTCAGGTGATTTGCCCACCTTGGCCTCCCAATGTGCTGGGATTACAGGCATGAACCACCATGCCTGGCCAATTGATTTCTATCTTGATGCCAACAGCCAACTCTGTCAGCCAGCAGGTTTAATTTCGTGAAAAACAAAAACTCATCATCCTATATTTATAACAATTCAGTGGTATATGCCAAGCAGTGCCTACTCCAGTGTTGAAAACGGCAACGCTGGGCACAGTGTCTCAATGCCTATAATCCCAGCACTTTGGGAAGCCAAGGCAGGTGGATCACTTGAGGTCTGGAGTTTGAGACCAGATGGGCCATCTTCAATAAAAATGCAAAAATTAGTCTCCCATGATGGTGGGAATCTGTAATTCCAGCTACTCTGCAGGCTGAGGCAGGAGAATTGCTTGAACCTGGGAGGTGGAGGTTGTAATGAGCCAAGATTGCGCCACTGCACTCCAGCCTGTGTGACAGAGACTGAGACTGTCTTAAAAAAAATTTTTTTTTAAGTAATAAAAATGAAAAACCTAACAAAAATGATGCCACAGTTTTACACATTTCAGGTGGTTAAGAGTGCATAAGTTTGATAATAAACATGGTACTTTTTTTTTTGAGACAGAGTTTCGCTCTTGTTACCCAGGCTGTAGTGCAGTGGCGCAATCTTGGCTCACCGCAACCTCTGCTTCCTGGGTTCAGGCAATTCTCCTGCCTCAGCCTCCTGAGTAGCTGGGATTACAGGCACGCGCCACCATGCCCAGCTAATGTTTTGTATTTTTAGTAGAGATGGGGTTTCACCATGTTGACCAGGATGGTCTCAATCTCTTGACCTCGTGATCCACCCACCTCGGCCTCCCAAAATGCTGGGATTACAGGCTTGAGCCTCCGTGCCCCGCATAAACACAGTACTTGACCTTAAATAAGACCTGGAGCTTGCCAGTGGAAGCAGGCTTAGAAGGGCAGCAGCTTGTAAGTTATGGTGAGGTGGTGGGGACAGGGTTATCTGAAATCTGACAGAAAGCTGTAACAGCAGGTATCTATGGGTGTGGCTTATAACAGTGTATTGAAGAATAGGATAGATGTTGAGGGGTGTGCACATGCTTGCCTTGTGTATTCCTATGCAGTGTGGCTTAGAGGATCATTTTCTGCATTCCCCTAGTGCCTCTCCAGGATGAAATCACATATCTAGAAACAGTAAATTGGTGGCTCACACCTGTAATCTCAGCATTTTGGGAGGATAAGGCAGGGGGACCACTTGAGGCCAGGAATTTGAGACCAACCTGGACAATGTGGTGAGACTTTCTGAAATCAAACCAAAATGAAAACCAACTAACCAAATAGGAAAATTTGTGTTATGCTTAATTCTTAATGTATCTATCAATCATATTGAAATAAATTTGTGTCTTTAAAATGTGTTATAGCTGAACTGACTACACTTCATATATTTCCTTAATTCCCTACATCTAGTAAAATTTCAATGCCTAATTTTTTTCCCTTCAAAATTCTCATATTCAAAGCTTCTCATATCTCACCCATTTTCCTTTTACTTTTTTCTTTTCTTCCCCCCTGAGATGGAGTTTTATTCTGTCATCCATGCTGGAGTGCAGTGGTGTGATCTTGGCTCACTGCAACCTCCACTTCCTGGATCCAAGCAATTCTCCTGCCACAGCCTCCTAAGTAACTGTGACTACAGGTGCCTGCCACTACGCCTGGCTTATTTATGTATTTTTAGTAGAGATGCGATTTCACCATATTGGTCAGGCTGGTTTTGAACTCCTGACCTCAAGTGATCCACCTGCCTCGGCCTCCCAAAGTGCTGAGATTACAGGTGTAAGCCACTGTGCCTGGCCTACTTTATTTTAAAAAGTTTTTATTAATTTAATAGATTTGTTTGATGATCTTTCTAAATGCCTTCATTCTAAGATATGTCATCATACATGTCTAATACTGCTAGCAGGTTCATGGTTCATTTACACGCACACATATATACACATGTATGGAGAAATACCTATTTATTACCTAAACATTAAAAAATACATATAAGCAAGAACGGAGAATTTAAATTGCCCCAAATTCTACTTATTGGAGGTAACCATTGGAATATATATGTGTATATATATGATTATAAATACATATTTAAAAAAAAAGATTGCTTCCTCTCTTGGCCATATATTATGGATATCCTCTCCAGGATATATATATATATATATATATATATATATATATATATATATATAGCATAACTTTAAAAACATTGTAGTAAACATTGTAGTAAAAGATACATAACAAAATTTACCATCGTAACAATTTGGAAGTGTACAGTTCAGTGGAATTAGGTATATTCACATTGTTGTGCAACCATCACCCCCATCCATCTCCAGGACTTTACCATCTTCTCAAACTAAATTGTGCACCCGTTAGACAGCAGCATTTTTTTTTTGAGATGGAGTTTTGCTGTTTGTTACCCAGACTGGAGTGCAATGGCACGATCTTGGCTCACCGCAACCTCCGCCTTCTGGGTTCAAGCAATTCTCCTGCCTCAGCCTCCCGAGTAGCTGGGACTACAGGTGCGCACCACCATGCCCAGCTAATTTTTGTATTTTTAGTAGAGACGGGGTTTCACCTCGTTGACCAGGATGATCTCGATCTCTTGACCTCCTGATCCACCCGCCTCGGTCTCCCAAATTGCTGGGATTACAGGCTTGAGCCACCGCGCCCGGCCCCACCCCTATTGTTATATATTTAGGTTTCTTTTTTTCTCTAGTATAAATATCCCTTATCAACAATGCTTCAGCAACATCTCTTGTTCATACATCTTGCAGACATATTATTTCTGAAGGATAAATTCCTAGAACTGGGATTTGCTAGGGCCCGCAGGAGGAATTCCAATTTACACTCACTTGTATGAGTGCAAGGACACTTTCAGACTCTAATGACAGGAGGTGTTACCATTCTTCTTTTGCTCTTTGTCCATGTGACAGGCAAAAGTTGCTCGTACTTTAATACTGTTTGGGTTGCTAGTACAGGTTCCGTCTTTTATCCTACATAGTGTTAGTGTCTTGATTCTGAACTTTCGCAGTGTGTCAGTGTAGAAACAGCTAACAGTTCCGATCTACACAACCCAGACATTCCATGACCCCAGGCTTACTTCGACGCTGCAAGCCTCCCTCTCTGTTCCCTGGAGCAAGCGCCCGAGTGCGTGTGGTGCTCCCGGTCGGCCACTGCTGGCTGTATTCCCTGCCCTTGCCCAGTCCTATTTCTCTGCGGAGGCTTGCCTAGGTCTTGTCTGCTGCGCTTGATGTAGCTCAGCTTTACAGCGTCTGGGCTAAGCCCACAGTTTCCTTTACAGAGCGAGTCTCCAACTTCAGGCGTCTGGGTCCCCGCACAGCGGGTCTGGCTCGGAGTGGGGAATCCGCCTTCCCAGCAAGACCCCTGCTGATGCCGCGGGTCTGAGGACTACGCTTTGGAACCCAAGGCCTCGCAGTGCGTCGAGATCTGACAGCTTCTCTGCACGGGCCTAGCACCAATAGTCGATCAACGCAAAATCGTCTTCGCAAGTTCAGGAAGCAGAAACCAGAGCGGGAGACTGGGTAGGTGCGCGCTGGCACCGTCGCTGCGCTTGCTCCGGCTTCAGTGCACGGTCGGAGGTGGACGCTAGGGGGCAGCAGCGTTGCGCTCGCCCCTAGGCCGTGCTTCCGCCCGCGCAAGCGCAGTAGGACCAGCGCGTGCTGGCCTGGGGTGGCAGGGCCGCAGAGACTTGGGTTGCAGGTAGGTGCTGGGGCGAGGAGGGGCGAGAGGGCCAAGGGGCAAGGGCTTAGAGGGGCGGCAGGGCTCAACGGCGAGGAGCGAGGGGCGAGGGGCTTGCAGCTGGGTTTCCCGCGGGGCCTATACGTGACGCGGCCTGTATCCCCCACAGCACCGGCCGCCTCCACGCGAGCGGTCCGGAGGCTCCCAAGGAGGCTGCGCGGGGTCAGGGCAGCCTCGTCCACCGCGCCCGGCCCCCTCCTCCGCGCCCCGCCCTGCGCTAGAGCTGGACATTAAAGGACCCGACAAGGGCCGGTCGCGATGGCTTCCGCCGGTAATCACAGCGGTTTTGGAGGCCGAGGCAGGAGGATCGCTTGAGCTCAGGGGAGAGCAGCCTGGGCAACATGGCGGAACCCCTGTCTCTATTAAAAAACTTGGCTGGCTGCTGTGGCCCGCCTGTTATCCCAGAGGTGGGAGAATCGCTTGAACCCAGGGGCAGAAGGTTTCAGTGAGCGGAGATCACGCCGTTGCACTCCAGCCTGGGGGACAGAGTGTGAGGCTGTTTCTATTATTTTGTTATTATTTGAGACGGAGTCTCGCTCTGTCGCCCAGGCTGGAGTGCATTGGCTCGATCTTGGCTTCCAGGTTCAATCCATTCTCCTGTCTCAGTCTCCCGAGTAGCTGGGGTTATGGGCACCCATCACCATGCCCGGCTTAGTTTTGTATTTTTGGTAGAGATGGGGTTTCGCCATGCTGACCAGGCTGTTCTCGAACTTCTGGCTTCAGGTGATCCACCTGCCTCGGCCTCCCATAGTGCTGGAATTACAGGCAAGAGCCTGGTGGAGGCTGTCTCTATTTAAAAACAAACAAAACAAAACAAAACGAAAAAACCGGAAAGGACTCCACCTCAGCTCTTTGCCTTTGTGTGTTTATTTTACACGAGATCATTGTTGCCCAGGTGTGTTGTGTAATCATATTCTCTTTTTTAGAAAGCAGAATTTCGCTGTTTTATTGCATAATCTTGTCTTTACCACCCTTCACCTTTACTACAGAACCCTAAAGCTGAATAAACATCCAGAATGTTTAAAATAATCCTCTTAATGTACCTTGTGCTTTATTGGCAAGATGGAATTCTACTCTAAATTGTATTGAATGACACTACTCTGTCTTCTCTAGTTGTAGAACATACCTTGTAAGTCGGTAAAAACTAGTTTTGTTCCTGTGCTTTTCTTTTTTCTTTAAGCTGTAAATGTAGAGCAGTGGATCCCAAGTTTTTCTCTATCAGTAAGTCTTCCTATATGTCGTGCCTGAATTTCTCCTGCCCTATCTGCCCACCTTCTTTATTCCTTAACGTGCAGGCTGTTTTTCAGGACCAGTAAATTTCGGTGATTTTTGCTTGTTTCTGGACGGGAAACTTCCTTCAGCCACACAGCCTCATTCTATGCTCTGGGCGGCCTACTCCAGAATATGCCTCTGAAACAAAAAGCAAATCAGGGGTTGAGGTGGCCTAAAGTCTTCTTTAAGAAATCAGCAGTCCCAGGGTCCCCCAGGCAGCCCCCAGGTGACCACAGTGTGTTTGATTTAGTTCAGCTCCTAAGCATTGCAGAGGAAGAATGGGCTTGAGGCCAGAAAACTTGGCTCTTCTGTGTATAATTTAGTGACCTTGGATATATTACTTCATCTCTGACTCAGTTGTCTTATCTGTGAAATGGGAATAACAATAATTATATTCACCTCACAGAACTGGTGTGAAGTTGATATTCAGATGAATTTTTGGGTATTTTTAAATTTATTTCATTTTGGTTTGGTTTCTTTTTGCTGAGAGGATTCAGAAGTGAATGTGAGAACTTAGGGTTAATAGAAAAGGTTACTGGGGAATATAAAATTTGGATTCAGCAAGAAATGCATTAAAGGTTTTCTGAGTAATGATGAGGGTCCAACGCAGATTAGAAAATATGCATTTCCAGAGTCCTACAGAGTTTTGTATCTGATTTTGGCAGCCTTTGAGTGGAAATGAAGAAGTGGACAGGGCAAGTTACACGGGGCTGGTGAGTGACAGGCAGATCTGGGTTTATGATAAAGCCTCTAGACGCTTTACTTGCACAAATACCTTCCAAAACCCTGGCAAGGGGCTCAGCAGTTTTACATTCATAATTGCGTATTTTTCCCTTAAAGAATTACCGTCCCTTGCCCCCAGTTGTGTAAGCTTCAGGCCCCATAAGACCTGACATCACCCCTAGTGGCAAGGAAGGATTGGTGGGAGGTTAGGCATAAGGAGGGTTGGAGAGTTGAAGGGATTCACCATGGGGTTTGAGCTGGGGAACTCGGATTGGAGAAGGAGGTGGCAGATAAGGGGCCTCATAGGATAGGAACCTTGAGGAGAGGAAGAGCAGATTCGCTGAAGCGAATACAGGAGAGGGAAAACAGCCTGTGCGGCTGAGGCCATGAAGAGGGAGAGGCACAGAGTGACCAGGCAGTTGGTGTGTCTTTGCCGAGTACCTGCTGCATGCCAGGAACAGGACAGTGGTGAACAGGACAGGCAGGCAGCCCTCTTAATGCTCAGAATCTAGAGGAAGCCAGGGCCTGGGCATCCCAAAAAGGGAGCCTTTGAGGACTGAGGAAAGCTCAGGGGCTGAGTTGTGGGATGCAGGGAGGGTCTAGGGAGGCAGGGAGGGGCTAGATGTCAGGAGGCCACATAAGAGTTTGGACTTGATCCTGAGGGCTGAGTTGGGGGCTTTAGAATGTTAAGCTAAGTGGGATCAGATCTGTGCTTTAGAAAGCTCTCCCTGCAGGTATCGGAGAAACTTCCACATATGCCTGGGGAGATGTGTACATAACTTGTCTCACTAATTGTGGAAAAGTCAAACCAGTTGAAAATAGTGACCTGGAACTTTGTGTATCTGCATGAATAAATCTCAAAAACGTAACCTTGAGCTTTTAGAAAAGCTAGTTGCAAGAGGATAATACCAGCCCACCACTGTTTGTATAAAGCTGGAAAATTTAATGTATTATTTTTGGGCACATACTTGTGGTGAAAATAAAAATCATGTTTGGGAAGCTGAGTTCAGTGGCCCATGCCTGTAGTGAATCCCAGGTTCACTTGAGTAAATAGATAAGATAGATTAGATGATCGATTAGATAGATAGCATGTGTAGGACTTACAGATACCAGTATTTTTCAGACTTTAGCATGCATCCAAATCACCTAGAGGACTTATTAAAACACAGACTTCATTTCTGATTCAGTAGGTCTGGGGTGAGGACCCAAGAATTTGCATTTCTCCCCCAAGTTCCTGAGCAGTGTTGATGCCACCAGTCTGGGGACCTCAGTTTGAGAATCTCTGATGTCCACCAACTTGACAACTTGAAGACAGTGATCACTTCTTGGGAGGGATCAGAATTGGATGGGGAGGAGTCCAGAGGGGCTTCAACTCTATTTGTAATATTTAATTTCTTTAAAAAAAAATCTGAGGCCTGGCGCGGTGGCTCACGCCTGTAATCCCAGCACTTTGGGAGGCCGAGGCAGGTCGATCATGAGGTCAAGAGATCTAGACCATCCTGGTCAACATGGTGAAACCCCGTCTCTACTAAAAATACATAAAATTAGCTGGGCATGGTGGCGTGTGCTTGTAATCCCAGCTACTCAGGAGGCTGAGGCAGGAGAATTGCATGAACCCAGGAGGCGAAGGTTGTGGTGAGCAGAGATCGCGCCATTGCACTCTAGCCTGGGTAACAAGAGCAAAACTCCATCTCAATAAAGAAAAAAAAATCTGAAAAAATGATGCAACGTAACTTGACAAAGCTGGGTGGATATTCATTGATGTTTTTAATTTTTCTGTGTGTGTGAAACATTTAATTCCAGAAAAAGGATCCTATTGTTTGCTGTGTAATCCTCAGAATGGACTGGAAAAGAGGAAGAACTGGGTGTCTTCGTGGGAATCTTTTGCAGAAGCCCAGGTGAGAAGTGCTGCTGGCTTATACCGGAGGTGGGAAGGTCGGGGGTGGGGGGTGGGAGAGGCAGCAAGGAAGGAGAGAGACGAGCAGCTGTGAGGGAGGTTTGGGTGGGAGCATTGACTACATGTGGTAATTGGTTGGTTTAGAGGTTAGGGGAGGGCGGAATCAAGTCATACACCTGGTCTGTGACTTGAGTGGGTGGTTGCGTCATGAGCCGATCACGAAGGGAACCCTGGAGGAGGGGCATGTGGGGACAGGTGGGAGTTCTGGAGTGGACATCCTAAATCTCGACAGCCCAGTGAGCAAAGCGTAAGAGAGATCTGGGCTGCAGTGCAGACTTAGAAAGCATCAGAGTTCAGATGGCTTTCTAAGGTGTGGATGAGGTTACCTGGGCCTTTGGCAGACCTGAAGCAATGCTGTCACCTAAGGCAGGGCTTGGCCAACCACAGCTTGCTGCTTGTTTTGTATAGCCTGAGAGCTGAGAATGCTTTTATCTTTTTTTTTTTTTAATTGAGACATAGTTTCGCTCTTGTTACCCAGGCTGGAGTGCAATGGCGCGATGTCGGCTCACTGCAACCTCAGCCTCCTGGGTTCAGGCAATTCTCCTGCCTCAGCCTCCCGAGTAGCTGGGATTACAGGCATGCGCCACCATGCCCAGCTAATTTTTTGTATTTTTAGTAGAGACGGGGTTTCACCATGTTGACCAAGATGGTCTTGATCTCTTGACCTTGTGATCCACCCGCCTCGGCCTCCCAAAGTGCTGGAATTACAGGCTTGAGCCACCGTGCCCAGCTCTTTTATCTTTTTAAATGTTAAGGGGAGAATTCAGTGAAGATATAATTCACAAACCATAACATTTGACATTTTAAAGTGCACGATTCAGTGGTATTTAGCATATTCACAAGGTTGTACAACCATCATCATTGTCTAATTCAGGAACATTGTAGCCAAAAAGAGACCACATCCCTGTCAACAACTATTCCACCCCCCGCCCCCAGCCTCTGACAGCCATGAATCTGTGTTCTGTCTCTGAATTTGCTTCTTCTGGACATTTCATGTAAATGGAATAGTACGGAATAGGACCTTTTTATCAGGCTTATTACACTGAGCATGATGTTTCCAAGGTTCACCTATGTTGCAGCATAAATTAGTGCTTTATTCTTTTTTATGGCCGAATAATACTCCGTTTATGGATGTACCACATTTTGTCTATCCATTCATCAGCCAGTGGACACTTGGGTTGTTTCCACTGTTTAGTTGTTGTGGATAATGCTTCTGTAAATTCCAGGAAATTACACTCTGGAGCTGCCAGAGTGTAATTTCCTGGAAACCGAGTAAAGGTGTTTAAGTAGGGAGTGATCAATCACACTAGATGCTATTGATAGATCAAGGAAGATGGGGGCTGCGCTTTGACTGTTGTGTTTAGTGATGTGGAGGTCACCCGTGCTGACTGACTGTGATAAGGTCAGTTTGGGTGGAGTGGCCGTGAGTTGGAGAGAATGAGAGGACAGAGCTGGGCATGGGGTTTGCCTGAGCTGGGTGTGGGGCCGGTTTCTTGGTAACACACAGTTCATAGTAACAGGAGGGCACCAAGGCGGGTGTCCTTTGTGGCGTCTGACCTGGCCTGGTGCAGGGAGCTGGGAATGGGAAGTGCTGTGAGTACTAATGGGGAGCAGGGGATCAGAGGAGCAGAGGTGTGGGAATAGGTGGTGGAGTAGGGAGAGACTGGAGCTTTGCCAGTGGGGACCTGGGCTGAGCAGGGCGTGGAGCATGTGGTGAAGAGTCTTATGGCGGGTGAGGCTCAAGGCCCAGTGTGTGCTTAGGGAACGGGGCTGCAGAGTGAGTAAGGGACCTATGGGTATATTACAGGGGTAGGATGTCGAGGAATTTCCAAGACAAGCTAATAGGGGTCACTCCGGGAGAGAGGCCTAGTGTGCGCTAATGGAGCATAGGGTGGTAGAGGCACCAGGATATGTGCTAATAGGCTTCGTGTGTGGTGGTGAGAGTGTGTGTGTGTCTGTGGGGGCCTGAGGGGTAGGAGAGAATGGGGTGCTTATGGAGGGGAAGTGGTTGAAAGACTCGAGTGCTATGTGTGTGATCGTGGGGGTCATGCCATGGAGGGTGTGTGCACATCCTAATAAAGGTCTGGGTAGTTGGATGGAGCCTAGTGCATGCTAATGGGGCAGAGCTGGAAGGACCTCATGGAGGGATCTGGTGGAAGGAGGATGGTGGGAGACCTGTGCTAGCGGGGTGAAGATTGTGGATCTGTGTGGGGCATGAGGTGGTGGTATGGGAAGGGTCTTGGTGCTGTCAGAGGCCCAGTGCACTAAGGGTCAAGGTGGTGTGAGGTGCGCATGTGTCACTGAACATAGAGCCATTCTAGGAAGGGGCAGCTGGATGATGTAAGATATTACGGAGGCTGCTACTGTGGGTTTAGAGTCACAGAGGCACTGAAGTGTGTGCCATTGTTGGGAGAGTCAGCAGTGTGAGGTCTGGAGTACGCTCAGGAGAGCCAGAACAGTGTGAACTTGTGTGCTTATGTCTGTAGGGTACTGGAGTGTGTGGAGGTTCCAGGGAATACTGATGAAGGGGGTGAGTAGAGCTGTGGAGGGGGTGAAAATAAATTTAAAAGACCAGGTGTGGTGGCTCATGCCTGTAATGCCAGCAGTTTGGGAGGCTGAGGCAGGAGGATTGCTTGAGGCTATGAGTTCAAGGTCAGCCTAGGCAACATCATGAGACCCAGTCTCTACAAAACAAAAACAAAAACAAAAATTAGCTGGATGTGGTGGTGTGTACCTGTAGTCCACTTAGGAAGCAGAGGTGAGAGGCTTGCTTGAGTTTGAGGCTGCACTGAGCTGTGATTGCACCACTGCACTCCAGCCTGAATGATGGAGTCAGATCCTATTTCTTAAAAAAAAAAAAAAAAGAAAGAAAAGAAAATCGGCCAGTTGCGGTGGCTCACACCTGTAATCCCAGCACTTTGGGAGGCCGAGGTGGGTGAATCATAAGGTGAGGAGTTTGACCAGCCTGGTCAAATATGGTGAAATCCTGTCTCTACTAAAAATACAAAAATTAGCCCAGTGAGGTAGCAGTTGCCTGTAGTCCCAGCTACTCGGGAGGCTAAGGCAGGAGAATCACTTGAACCCAGGAGTGGAGGTTGAAATGGGCCAAGATCGTACCAGTGCACTCCAGCTTGGGTGACAAGAGCCGGACTCTATCTCCCCTTAAAAAAAAAAAAGAAGAAAAGAAAATCATAGAATTTCGGAGATGAGTGAAGTTTAGGCAAATGTAAATGAAGTAGTGTTTTAATGGGCTGAAAGCCATGTAGGCTGATTGTTAAGGAGCCAAGATCTAGTCTGGACTGCAAAGTGGTAGTCTGCTCTTTCCTTGGAGACTACCAGGTTAACATAGATGTGCAGGATTGTTTCCAGAAACTCCTATCTGAAGCTCTGCCTTATTTGGAAATTGAGGTTGCTTGTCTGTGTCAGAGTGACTTTGATCCTCCAGGGAAGAGTGGGATTTTTTTTTTTTTTTTTTTTTTAATTTTTTATTGGATTATAGGTTTTGGGGTACATGAGCAGAGCATGCAAGACAGTTGCGTAGGTACACACATGGCAGTGTGCTTTGCTTTTCTTCTCCCCTTGACCCACATTTGGCATTTCTCCCCAGGCTATCCCTCCCCACCTCCCCCTCCCACTGGCCCTCCCCTTTTCCCCCCAATAGACCCCAGTGTTTAGTACTCCCCTTTCTGTGTCCATGTGTTCTCATTTTTCATCACCCACCTATGAGTGAGAATATGCGGTGTTTCATTTTCTGTTCTTGTGTCAGTTTGCTGAGGATGATGTTCTCCAGATTCATCCATGTCCCTACAAACGACACGAACTCATCATTTCTGATTGCTGCATAATATTCCATGGTGTATATGTGCCACATTTTTCCAATCCAGTCTATTATCAATGGGCATTTGGGTTGATTCCATGTCTTTGCTATTGTAAACAGTGCTGCAATGAACATTCGTGTACATGTGTCCTTATAGTAGAACGATTTATAGTCTTTTGGATATATACCCAGTAATGGGATTGCTGGGTCAAATGGAATTTCTATTTCTAAGGCCTTGAGGAATCGCCACACTGTCTTCCACAATGGTTGAACTAATTTACACTCCCACCAACAGTGTAAAAGTGTTCCTTTTTCTCCACATCCTCTCTAGCATCTGTTGTCTCCAGATTTTTTAATGATCGCCATTCTAACTGGCGTGAGATGGTATCTCAATGTGGTTTTGATTTGCATCTCTCTGATGACCAGTGATGATGAGCATTTTTTCATATGATTGTTGGCCTCATATATGTCTTCTTTTGTAAAGTATCTGTTCATATCCTTTGCCCACTTTTGAATGGGCTTGTTTGTTTTTTTCCTGTAAATCTGCTTGAGTTGTTTGTAAATTCTGGATATCAGCCCTTTGTCAGATGGGTAGACTGCGAAAATTTTTTCCCATTCTGTTGGTTGCCGATCCACTCTAGTGACTGTTTCTTTTGCCGTGCAGAAGCTGTGGAGTTTGATTAGGTCCCATTTGTCTATTTTGGCTTTTGTTGCCAATGCTTTTGGTGTTTTGTTCATGAAGTCCTTGCCTACTCCTATGTCCTGGATAGTTTTGCCTAGATTTCCTTCTAGGGTTTTTATGGTGCCAGGTCTTATGTTTAAGTCTTTAATCCATCTGGAGTTAATTTTAGTGTAAGGTGTCAGGAAGGGGTCCAGTTTCTGCTTTCTGCACATGGCTAGCCAGTTTTCCCAACACCATTTGTTAAACATGGAATCCTTGCCCCATTGCTTGTTTTTGTCAGGTTTATCAAAGATTGTATAGTTGTATGTATGTTGTGTTGCCTCCGGTGCCTCTGTTTTGTTCCATTGGTCTATATCTCTGTTTTGGTAGCAGTACCATGCTGTTTGGATTACTGTAGCCTTGTAGTATAGTTTGAAATCCGGTAGTGTGATGCCCCCCGCTG